CCTTGAGGACATTGTGCTAAGTGAAATAAGCCAGTCACAAAAAGGCAAACACTGTGTGATTCTGTGAATGTGAGGTACTTAGAGTAGCCAAACTCTTAAAGACAAAGTAGATGGTGGTTGTCAGGGGCTGGAGGGAGGAGAGATTGGGAAGTTATTGGTTTAAGGGTATAGACTTTCAGTTCCACAAGATGAAGAGTCATGAAGATGGATGGTGGTGATGGCTGCACATTATGGATGCATTTAATACCACTGAACTCCATACTTAAAAATGGTTAAGATGGCAAAGTTTATGTGATGTGGATTTTACCACAATAAGAAAAACTGAAGAAAAAAAAAAATTCTTAACAATGAGCACACCTAGCACCCAGACCTTGATTTCTTATAAGTACAGCGCTAACCGATTGCGCCACTGGAGCTCCTAGACCTTGATTTCTAAATACTGTGCTCCAATAAAAGAAACCAGGGCCCTTTGGAGAAATGGCTGACTCTAGGCTGGAGCAGAAAAAAAAAAATTCCAGATGAGCCTTGAGCATCTTATAGCACCAGAAAGTAAGGAAGTGCTCAACAACACACAGAAGGATGGTGTGAGGGGAGTGGGCGGTGTCCAAGGGACACAGGAACCAGCCCGAAAGATCCCCGATGGCCAGCGCCGGAACAATTTGAACAACGGAATAAATAGTATATACAGGGTGGGGCAAAAGTAGGTTTACCGTTGTTTGTATGGAAAGTAATACAATAATTAATAAATAATAATACATGAATAAACTGTGTTCCACCCACTCACAACTGTAAACCTACTTTTGCCCCACCCTTTTTGAATCAGTTTTACTAGTAGATTATAATTCAAAGTGTAAACTACATGTCCATGCGTGCATATAGATACACATAAATGACAGAATAAGTCAAGGTTAAGGGACATACTTTTATTAGAGAAGAATGACAAATAATGTATGTAAATACTCCCCCTCCAGAGGGGAAGCTTAATCCCCTCTGCCCTTGAGTGTGGGCTGAGCTTAACGACTCACTTCCAAAGGATAGAGAAGGGGAAGGAAGGGCAGTACCTTCACAGTGGAGACACCTGAACCTGGCAGACACCTTAACCCGGTGATCCAGGTAACATCACCAGGACACCAAGGGGATATTATGAATGCCCTGGTATGAGGGGTGACAAGGACACCACATCTGTGGTCTTCCAAAAAAAAACCTGTAAACACAGACTACTCATGAGAAAAACATCAGACAAACCCAAATTCAGGGGCCTCTGGTAAATACCTACCGATACAAGGACTCTTCAAAATTGTCAAGGTCATGAAAAACAAGAAAAAGTGGAGAACCAGTCACCGACAGAGGAGACTAATAACTCAGTGCAACGTGGTACCCTCCATCAGATCCTGGAACAGAAAAACAAATCGTGGAGTTTGAAAGGCACTCACGGTCATGTCTTAGCTTGGACATAGGCACCACAGCAAACATGGAAGGTGGGTGAAGGGTAGGTGGGAACTGTGTCCTCTTTGCAACTTCGCCATAAATCAAAAGCTAATGCCAAATAAAATGTCTATTTAAAAAAGCATTTCCTCCCGATTCATAAAGGGACACATGTTTACCGTAGATAACTCACAGTATCAACAACCAGAGCCCAGCCGCTGCTCACATGGACACTGTTAACATTCCAGTGCAATCTTCTTCCTGCGCACTTTCAGCCTCACAGGCAGGCCCGTTCTTCGGCATCGAGCATGTGGCGTGCATCACGTCTGCAGCTACTTGAAACTCCGTGACTCGGTTGTGCTAGACTTTCCTTAGCTGCTCCCTGCTGTTGAATAACTTTCAAAGGTTGCCTGTGGTAAATCTTCAACGCGTGCATCTGGGGCTGCATTTGGGACAGTTTTCTAATGACATTCACAAGCTGAAGAATGTGCAGACTTTTAAGGCTCTTGAAGCATATTGCCAATTTGCTTTACAAAGATGTATACATCCATCGGTATCTGGGTCATTGGTCTATTTAGAATGCCCGCTTCCAAAAGGCTTCAAAGGCTCTCTCTCTCTCTCTCTCTCTCTCTCTCTCTCTCTCTCTCTCTCTCTCTCTCTCTCTCCTCTCCTTCTCTTTCTCCCTCTCTCTCTCTTCTCACCTGAGGCTATTTTGCCATTGATTTTTAGCGAGAGTGGATGTGAGAGGTAGAGATGGAGAAACATCGATGTGAGAGACACGCATTGATTGGTTGCCTTCCCACAGGGCCTGGGATCGAGCCTGCAACCAAGGTACATGTCCTTGACCGGAATCGAATCCAGGACGCTTCAGTCCACAGGATGACACTCTTTCCTCTGAGCCAAACCAGCTAGGGCCCAAAGGCTTTCATTATTCTCCATCTGAACATCCCCATTTTTGCAACTCTTCCTCCGATCCCCTTGCCATTGCTTCTTCGGGCTGTTTGCCTCTCCTGTGCTCTCCCTGTTCCCTCCTTGGACCCGCCCACCCCAGCATCACATTCCACTGGGAACCTCTCACTCTTGAGGATTTCCCTGCATCAGCCCCTGCTTTCCTGAGGCTTTAGATCTCTCCCACGTCCCCAGGCACTGAGCTCCAAGACCCCATTTCCACTTGCCTTTCAGCCACTTACACCAGCACATTCCTCAGGGCAGTGATTCAAACTCCACGTGGGAAAGAGAAGTTAACCAACTTCTCTCTGCTTCTGCGGCCCACTCACTCCCCTCCTCTGGGGTGCAGCACCCCAAGCGCCGCTGCCCAAGCCTGGCTTCTTTGCCCGATCTGGTCTCCCACTTGCCCCTGACCACCACACTCAAAAGGATTCTGGCTCCCACCTCACAGATATTCCTACGCACCTGTCCTAATCCAGCCCCCTGCAGCTTGTGCCTGAAATGCTCACAGCTTGGTCTCCCCACCTCCCTCCAGCTTCCTTCTCCTCCTCGTGAAGCGATTATTTCTCAAACACCAATCTGGTCATTTCACATCCCCATTTTAGGGATCTCTACTCATTTGTAGAAAAACTGGCTTTTCTCTCCTCTTTCAAGCAAACTTGCTTCAAGGAGAGTCTCCACTGAATGCTAAGTGGCCTTTAACTTTCCTTTAAGACTTGCTGGCTGAACAAAAGCAAAGATTTCAGACAGTGTTACCTTAGACAATATTTCCTAACCAGACACCGTTAACAATATTTTGTTTTGTTCGACGTTGGGCAAGGCAGGTTTCCTGTCACAGCCACACTATAAGGTTGCCTTTAAAATAAATGGACTTTTAAAAGCACACCAATCTAAAAGATTGAATGAGTAATAGTAAAGGCAGTTCTCGGTTATGGCAATAATCAAGGAGGTGTTATTTGCTGCTCAGAGTGTGGCCCCTGGGCTGTCAGCATCATCTGGAGCTCGGTTCCGTCTCAGGCGCCACCTCAGACCACACGACTCAGAATCTGCATGTTAGCAAGGTCTCCAGGTGATTGTCACATGCATGTTAACACTGGAAAGCACTGATGTGAATCACAAAGTCTGGCAAACACTGACCTCAGGAAAAAGTAAAAACGATTTGTCACTCATGATCTGGCCTCGTGACCCTTCTAGATGGTTCACGGGCCGCTCCGAAAGCTCCTCCATCCAGCTGCCAGCCTCTATCCAGGCTACTCCTCGCTCCAGAAATCCCACCCTCTTCTGCCTCCACCTCTTCATCACTCAAGACTCAGCTGCAACAGGACTTTTCTTCTCTTGTTTAATTGAGGCGAATTTCACATACTATAAAATAAACAACTTAAAGTGAACAATTCAATGGCACTCAGCGCGTTCACAATGTTGTGCCACCACCTCTATCTCCCTTCAGCTTTCTCCTGCTTTTCACCACTCCAAAACAAAGCCTGCACCCACTAGGCAGTTCCTTCCCATGCCGCTCTCCCTGGCAACCATCGATCCTCTGTTTGTATGGATTTGCCTATTGCAGACATTCTTACACTGTAACTGAGACCATACAATATGTGACCTTTGCTTCTTCCACTTAACACCATGTCTTCAAGGCTCATCTGTGTTGTACATGGATCAACACTTCATTCTTTTTTTTCTTCCTGTGTGTGTGTGTGGTTTTCTTTTCCTTTTTTTGGCAGGGGAGGGGTGACATTGGTTAATAAGATTATATGGGTTTCAAGTGTATATTTCTGTCATTCATTCCTTTATTAAGGCTGAATAGTATTCCATTGTGTGGCTAGACCACATCTTGTTTTCCCACTTACCCATTCATGGACATCTGGGTTGTTTCCATCTTTTGACTATTATGACTAGTGCTGCTATGAACATTCATGTGCTCATTTTTGTTTGTTTTCAACGCTGTTGCTTATATACCCAGGAGTAGAATTTTTGGGTCGTATGGTAATTCTACATTTAACCTTTTGAAGTGATGTCACTTCTTCAGAGAGCTTTCTTTGAACCCTTACCTGCCTCCTCCTTCTCCCATCTCAATCTCTAAAACACCCCACCTGGCAAAGCTGAGTTTTAGCCCCAGGACTTCTGACCCAAATTCCACTTCTTGGCACCGCCTCACCCAGCTGAGTCACCTCCGCCAGGGACTGACCTCACTGGATGGACCAGGATGCTCAGGTTGGAAGCTTGTTCAAGGCCCACGGCTCCTGATAGGTGGGCTGCGGACTCTCCGCTCTTGTCCCATCTCTGGGCATGCCAGCCTGTCTACATGGTGCTCCTAAGTGGACAATCCGGTTTTATAAAACACAGCCTCCTCTGTTCCTGGGGATGCTGACAGCCTCACACTGCTCTGTCTGAGGGTCACAACCCGTCTCCTCTCTGGATCGGCCCCGAGGCCTGTTCTACAGCAAGGAAGGAGCGCAGGATCCTTGTTTTGGGCACATTTATTTGGGGGATATATATATATATATATTTCTATGATAGGAGGAAAGGGAGAAAACAACACTTTCCTTTATTTCATTTGTCTGCCTTTTCGAAGTTTATGTTGCATATGGAACCGACATGGAGCAGGCACCACGGGCGGCGCCAGCTCACGTGTAGCCCACCAGGCGTGGGGTGCTGGGGAAGGTCCTGCGCATGCACATGCACTTCTCCTTGTCGATGCAGAGGGTGTTGGCCTTGATGGCCAGCTCGTGCTCCAGCCGGCACTTGGTCATTACCAGCATCTGCAGCGTGTCCTGCGTCTCCCGCAGCCTCAGCTTGAGGGTCTGCAGTGTGTCGTCGATGGTGAATACCTCATTCACGAGCCTGCGGTGAGAGCAGAGGAGGCACCGTTCAACTCAGTTGTTCAACACGGGTGCACCTACTATGTGCCAGGAACTGTGCCAGGCGCTGGGAGACTGTGGAAAGCCAGACTGGGGAGGCTCAGCTGTCAGGGAAGACAGGGGTGGAAGAGGTATGGAAGTAAAGGCAGGATAGAGCTCCCAGGGTGATAAGCAGAGAGGGAGAAACTGTCAGGATGTTTAGGAAAGCAATCTGGCTGCTGCTCAGGAAGTTAAATGTAGACTTATCACGACCCAGCAATTCTGCTCCTGAGTATCTCCCATGAGAATTGAAAACAGATGCTCAAACAAATACTTGTACATGAATGCTCATAGCAGCACCAATCACGGGAGTCAAAAGGTAGAAACAGCCCAGATATCCATCCACAGCTGGGTGGATAAACCAAGGTGATCTGTCCATACAATCTTATTCGGCCATAACAAAGGAATAAAGCAGGATACATGTGATAACACGGAGGGACCTTGAAGACACTGTGCTCAGTGAAAGAAACCAGTCAGAAGAGGTTACATGTTGTATGACTCCATTTATATGAAATGTCCAGAATAGGCAAATCAATAGAGACAGAAGGGAAATTAGTGATGATGAGGAAGAAGGCCCATTGGTGGTGAGAGGCAATGTGGGTAAGGAAGACAATGCACAGATTGGGCACTTCAGCTGCTGGAGAAGGCAGACAGCTCAAGTCCCATCATCTGCTCAGCTCCCAAAGCACTGTGCACAAACATTCATACACACATCACATACACACACACACACACATGCACATTGCATGCACATGCATACATATACACACTACACACATAAATATAGATACACACAGACACACAGATACACACACACACACACACACACACACACACTGCCTGGGGATCCCATTCATGCTCCCTATCTATGCCTCTCGGTGGCCCAGCTGATGGGTGAGGGGCAGGGAGGTTGCCCAGGAGCAGTCGGTCCTCCGGGACATCTGGTCACTCCCTAAAGGCCTGCTCTGTGTAAGCCCCTGGGTGGACACGTGGGTTATCAGAGCCCCAGGACGGGCAGGAGCCCAACCTGAGGGACTAAGAGGCTTGAACCGCGTGGAGGAAGGATCAAGAGAGCCTCCCCCAGCCCTCCCCTGGGACCCGGGCCCCTTGCCACCCAGCAGGGTGGGACCCAGGCCACACTGCACCCACTCCCAAGGGTGGGAACTTTCCAGGCCAGCAGCAGGCTGAGGAGCAGCTGGCCAGGCCGTCACATTCAAAACCGCCCACCCCCACAACACACACGCCCAGCTTCTGTTTCCCGAGTGTCTCAGGCAGTGGCTGGGGCTGTGCAAGCATCACCACAGGGGACCGCCAGCGTCTTCTCTCAGTGGTTCCCTCCCTCTCTCTCGTTCAGCTCTCTTCCCCACCTCCAGCCCCGGAGGAGGACCAGCCTCGAACTGCGGGGGAATTTGTTACACAGCAACAGGGACTGTGACAGTGCCGGCATGGGGGAACGGGGCGGCCAGCGGGCCTGCGCCAGCTCCACAGCACGTCCTGGGAAAACAAGCCTGTGTGTGACGGTCCTCCCTCGCCTGGCCAGCATCACCTCCCACGCTCCTCCTCCAGCTCACAACCCTGCCTCTGGGTTTTCAGCCCCAGAAGCGCTTTTCACCCCCTGCTGTGAGGAGGCCCTTTCTCAACAGAAGCCGCCCTTCCATCCCTGAGCAGGAAGCTGTTCAATGGTTCACAGGTGAGAACTGTACACAGACAGCAAGGGAGAAGGAGGGACGTGTGAGCTGGGGCCTCTTGTATGGGAGCCTGGGCGGAGAAACCACGGGCCAAAGGCCACATCTCTGCCGGGAGGGTACCTCTCCTTAGCTTTCAGGGAAGTGGGGGCTTCCCAGGGCACAGTGGGATATGAAGCCAGGCTTGGTTTTTCCCATCCTTGGTTTAGGCCTGGGGGCGGAGGGTGGGGGTGGGATGGGGGGGAGAGGGGGAGACCTTTTTTCTGCTAAGGGCCATTTGAGTATTTATAACATCCTTCGTGGGCCATACAAGATTATCAACTTAAAAACTAGCCTGCTATATTTGGTCAAACATTTAATGAACTCCCATCTGATGCCTTGGCAGGGCCAAGCCACATGGTTTCACAGGCCTTAAACGGCCCTTGGGCCGGACATTCCCCACCCGGCTCCCTGGCTTAGGCAGTTGGGAAGCTTCAGTGCAGCGCAGAGGGTCTGGCCTTCCCCAGGATGGGCAGTTTTCAAGGGGATCCCCAGAATTTCAGACACCACCCCCCGCCCAGGGCCCTGTTGACTTGTGAGACTAGATGTCCTGATTGGTGGAGGACCCTTCTCAGACCCAGGTTTCCTGGGAGCCCCCCACCCCTTCCAGCCTCCCCCGCTCACTTGAACTGTGGGATGTCCCTGCACAGCTCCACGTTGGGGCGCCGGGTCCTGCACTCCAGCCGCGTCTGTGCCACCTTCAGGGGGCACTCCTTGGCTATGATGGACCTCTCCAGCAGCGCGATGGTGCTCTCCGCCTGAAAGATCTCCTGCAGCGTCTGTGGGGAACATGTGATGTCAAGGAGGGAGCATGGGGCCAACCAGCTCAGCACCCACTCAAGGTGTTTCAATGGCCCCTTCCCCAACCGCAGGGGCGGGGACCTCGCTCCTCTAACAGAGTCTTGGGAAATAGCTTCAGCATCTCTCACCACCCAGGCCACTGTGAATGCTGGGGAGGGGCAGGGGCCAGGGTCAGGTTTGTTTTTTATCTCCAATATCCACTGGAGTTGTCTGGCCAGTGTGGCTCAGTGTTTGAGCATTGACCTAGGAACCAGGAGGTCACAATTCAATTCCTGGTCAGGGCACATGCCCAGGTTGTGGGCTTGATCCCCAGTGTGGGGTGTGCAAGAGGCAGCCAATCAATGATTCTCTCTCATCATTGATGTTTCTCTCTCTCTCCCTCTCTGAAGTAAATAAAAATATATTTTAAGAAATATATATCCATAGGAGCCAGCCCATTAATGGTCAGTGGGAGAGAGTCAAAGTAATTGAAGGGAGGGAGGTTTTTAAGATCAACACATATAACCCCCAAATAGTAGCTAATTTCTAAATCCACTTTATCTGAATTAATCTTGGTTGTTCTATATCTTTTGATAATCCAGAGTTTAACTTCCTAATAACTAGGTAGGTAAATAGACTAGAAAAAAAAAAAAGAAAGAAAAAGAAAGGAAAAGGGAAAGGGAAAGGGAGAAGGGAGAGAGAGACTCGAAGTTTTCTATTTATCTATAGAAATGTTTCCCCCAATGTAATAACCGATGTGCACTACAATTGACCGAAGTACAGATGCCAGGCAGGCCCAGGAGGGCGCCAGCTGGGGACAGAAATGGTCTATATCTTGCTCTAGGTTATATCTTGCTCTAGGTCAGCGGTTCTCAACCTGTGGGTCGCCAACCTGTGGGTCACGACCCCTTTGGGGGTCGAACGACCCTTTCACAGGGGTCGCCTAAGACCATCGGAAAATACATATAAAATTACATATTGTTTTTATGATTAATCGCTATGCTTTAATTATGTTCAATTTGTAACAATGAAAATATATCCTGCCTATCAGATATTTACATTACGATTCATAACAGTAGCAGAATTACAGTTATGAAGTAGCAACGAAAATAATTTTATGGTTGGGGTTCACCACAACTGCTGGGGTCCAACCCCAGCAGGTCTAGGGGTCCCCAAAGGTGTGGACGGAGTCGGCGAAGAAGGAATGACACAGAGACAGCATTCAGTTGATCAGCAGCCTAGCCAGGATCTCTAGCCAAGTTCTGGTCAGGATCTCCAGCCAGGTTCTGTGTCCATGTTCTCTTGCTAGGTTCTCCAGCCAGGTTCTCCAGGTTCTCCAACCAGGTTCTGTAGCCATGTTCCCTCGCTAGGTTCTCCAGCCAGGTTCTGTACAGGTTCTCCAGCCAGGTTCAGTCACCAGGTTCTAGTCAGGTTCTCTTGCCATGTTCTATCCAGGTTCTGTAGCAGGTTCTGTAGCCAGGTCTTCAGCCAGATTCTCTCGCTAGGTTCTGTCTCTAGGTTCTGAGGACAGTTTCTGTCCAGGATCTTTTGCCATGTTCTCTTCAGCGAAGTTCTTCCGTCTCTAGGTTCTGTGTAGGTTCTGTGTCTAGGTTCTGAGTGTAGGTTCTGTCTCCTGTTGTCTTGTTACATCTGTATTTATACCAGTTGATTCCAATCCTATCAATCTCTATTCCAAAGGTTAGGGCGTTTCTTATCTCCATTCCAGGGAGTAAAGATTATGTAGCTTAAGCATGATTGTTCGTAGTTAAAGTGATTAATTACCTGCCTGGCACTTAGTTAAGGGGTTTTATCCCCTCCCTAACTTCAGGGAAAAATCCCTACCTGGGGAAACAACCTTTCTCGGAGAGGTGACTTTGGTTAAAACACATAGTGCCAAGAAGGTGAGCAAACATATTAAGAACAGTATGCTATATATGCCAGGTCCCTTGAAACAGCAAGGATGGACCGGCTCCCGGCACACAATATGAGGAACTGTAGTAAAGGGCCGCGGCATTAGGAAGGTTGAGAACCACTGCTCTAGGTGGAGGTTTCACAGGTGTAAACATGGGGGCAGGGGGGAAGCAGCATTGAAATTCATCAAGCTTTTTTTACACTTTATTATAAGACTGTTATACCTCAATAGAAAATAAGACTAAAATCAGAAGAAGGTCAATCACAGGAAAAGATTGGCAAAATGTTAATATTCATGTTGGATATATGGGGATCTTTTATATGTCTCTGTATTCTGTGTGTTTAAAATTTTCCATAATAAAAGATAAAAGTTTGGGAGGATGAATGAAGAAGGAAGCACAGACCCTTACCCGGAGGAACCTGATCTTGCACTTAGCCGACATGAACCACATCCAGAACTGAGACATCACCTTGCTGTGACTGAAACATCCCTTCTCCCACCATCACCAGCAGCCCTGGGTCTGTGAGCAGTTCTCATTCTCATGCCCCTCTGCTGAGAGAACTCTTTTAGGGGTGCCAACACCCGCCTCCAAGACGTGGCCAGGCCCAATAGCGAGGTGACATGTGCTCTGTTCCTGGCAAACCCAGAAGTGGTTCCTGCCACGGCGCCCCCAACGTCCTTCCCTCAGCTGTTTGCTTGCCTGTCACCCTCACTGGCATGTAAGCGCCAAGAAGGCAGGGGCTCTGTGTCAGCCATGCTGTGTCCTGAGCACCAGGAACAGTGCTTGGTGCAGAGTGAGGGCTGCGAGGTAAAAGACAAGATGCCCAGTTACATGTGGATTTCAGATCGACAACGAAGCATTCTTAGTATATGTCTCAACGACTGCATGATCTAAAATTCAAGTTTAACTGAGTGTCCTGCATTTTAACTTGCTAAATCTGGCAACTCTATTCCTAGTAGGAGCTTGATGGTACTGAGTGAATGAATGAGTGAATCCCAGTGGGATCTGGAAGTCTCGATTTTTTTAGCTAGCTTCCCAATGGTCCCTCTGCACGCTAAGGTTTGGGAACTGTGCGTTCCCAAATGCGTTCCCAAATGTGGCCTGACGTTTACACGGTCCTGTCTATCTCAGAGTTCGACATCAGGGAAACTGCTTCCACATGACAGCGCCAGGGCTCCTGATGGGGTGGGGCCTACAAGTGTCAGACCCAGTCTCTGCCTTCAAAGACTTTACAATCATGTTGTTTTTCCCTTTTTTGTGAGTTATGAAATATTCAAAAATCACAATGGGTACTAACATGGCTATTTTAGCTGGGTTGGGCTCATATTCGATGGGCACCAAGAAATTGCTTAAAAGAATTTTTTTCCTAAGAATTCAAGTCCAGGCTTTCCTATTAGCTTAGGATAAAAGCCTAGGAAGAGAGCATTTCGCGGCTTCTGGAGGACAAAAGGATGCCCCTTTCCTGTTGGGTGAGACACGGGCTGCAGAGCAATGGGAGGCAGGGGGCAGGCTGTGCCTCCTTCAGAGACCACAGAGGAGGAGGGCTGGCCCCTCACCGGCCTCAGTGAGCTGCAGACCAGCGCGATGCTACTAGTCGCCGGTTAAACATTACCCCACAGAAATGTTCTGGTCCCGCACATGAGCTGGCGTGTAAACACTCCAGTGGGAACACCTCCCTAGAAGCCCTGGAGAATTTCTTCAGAAACCCGCCTTAGGAGGGGGAGCGTGTGGGAGGTATGCAAAGCTCAGAAAGCACCACCCTGGTGGAGAAGAAAACCAAGCCTTCTGTGGACGAAAAAGGGGCCACATGCTAACCCAACATGCTCAGGGGAGGCCTGCATGGAGGTCTTGGAAACTCCAAGACCAAAAGTAACTGCAAAGGATGGTCTGAAATTACACCTTTAACTAAAAGCAATTATGGTGGATAGTCACATCCTAGGCCGGTATCTTCCCTGACAAAGGTCAATCTTTACCTTAACTGAGCCTATTGTCTTTTTGCATCTACGATAAGATAGGGTTGGAATGTCAAAGTAATTTTACTTTTTCCGGACCCCTCAAAGCACAGGCACTGCTCTGCAGAGATCACAAATCCCCTTTGTTATTGAGTTAATTGTTGACTGTTAACTATCCTGCTCCCACCTAAGTAAAAGAAGCATGTGTCTATCATTTTACTTTTTATCCAATCCCAGAGGTTTCCCCACTTTGCTTACTCCCGCCTCCCTGATCTATCACCAATGGAGTTCATGTAACCCATTTACATCTCCTCTTTTTTTTAAGGACCAATTTTTCAGTAAAAAAAAAAAAAGCAAATATGAAAAGATCCTTGGTACAGCTCCTCTTTTGATTGTAATGTATAAAACAAGGTAAAAAACCATCTTTCTCTGGAGCATTATCCCAATACGTTGAGATCCTGCTTCCTGGCAATTGTCAACAGTTTGGCTCAAATAAACTCACAACAATTCTTTACAGGTTTGAATGTTTTTTGTTTGTTTTTTATGTTAACACTTTTATAGACGAAAAATGCTTCTTGGTACCACATTGCCAGTGTGGAAAACAGTCCCTCACTCTCCCATCTAGATGACCCAAGAAGGCTGTTGCTGAGGTGGTGGGAGGAGGGCATTACTGAGAGTTTAGCTGCTGGTCATACTGTCAGCCCTGACCCAGCCCCAGCCCATGGAAGGCAGCTGCCAGTAAGGGCTGCTTCTAGGGGCACCTTTGGATGCCACAGCCAGCGAGGCTGCCCTTATCTTGGCTTCTTTTGTTTGCTCCTCCACCCCCTGGTTCCCAGCTCGAGGCTTAGCCAGCCTCACTGGGGTCTGAAACTTTACAAAAGGCCTGTCTCTGGATTGGCAGGGGTGCGGGGGGATTGACAGTCATTCATGTGCTCAGTCATGTCTTCATCCACTCATTCATTACTTTATGGATTCATTGATTCTCTCATTGACTCAACAAATGCTTACTGAGCACCTAGTAAATGCCAAGCACTGTAGGCAGTGAACACAGCAGGGAACAGGACAGAAAACCCTGTGCACGTGGAGTTTATGTTCTAGTGTAAATGCATTCACCTGCACCTTTATGCAACACAC